ATAGTTATGCTGTGCAACCGTGTGTACCATGTTTGGTACACACGGTTGCAAAACAATATCGTTTTGACTAAAAACGCGCGTCCTATTAAAAAAAAAAAAAAATCAGTTTCGATTTCCCTCAACAACATTATGTTGTTCATTTATTCTAGATTTTTAGTTCATTCATTGTGGATATTTAGTTCATTCATTCTGAATTTTAGTTATTTATTCACTGTGGATATTTAGTTCATTCATTGTAGATATTTAGTTCATTCATTGTAGATATTTAGTTCATTCATTGTGGATATATAATTCAAATTATGCACACACAAAAATGATATTGTCGGGAATCAAACCTGAATTTTTTCTATTAAGTGGGACACACATTTTTAGTCAAAATGACGTTTTTGCAACCGTGTGCACCATACAAAGCATGATTTGCGTTATAATTCTCTATATATATAGTACCATGTCGTTTTAAAAAAAAAAAAAATAAGTAATTTTATTTGCATTTTTAAAATTTAAAATACAATCTTGTAGAAATTGCTATAATGATAACATACAATAACTTATTCTAGGCAAATTATGCTATGCGCACGACTCTAAAACGGCGTCGTTTTCAAGTTCTAACTAAAAAAAAAAAAAAAAATTGTTCAAAAGGCCGTTAACGGTGTTAACAGTGTATTCGGTATGAAATTATGAATGTACAGTTATGACATTATGAATGTACAGTTATAGAATTATGAATGTATAGTTATGGAATTATGAACTTACAATTATGAACATAGAGCTTCGAAAATTATGAATGTTCGGTATGGAATTATGAATATACAGTATGGAATTATGAATGTACAGTTATGGAATTTTAAATGTACAATTATGGAATTATGAATGTACAGTTATGAAATTATGAACACCGAACTCTGACATTATGAACTTACAATTATGAACATAGAGCTTCGAAAATTATGAATTTACAGTTATTGAATTATGAATGTACAGTTACGAAATTATGAATGTACAGTTATGGAATTATGAATGTACAGTTATGAAATTATGAACACAAAGCTTTGAATATATGCTCCTATAACGAAGCGGTCTGAAATTTTTTTTTTAAAAAAAAAAAAGAAGAAGAAGAAGATAACAGTGCCGTTGCTGGGCACGAGTCCACAGCATAACGACTCCTTATTCTAACGTAACTAACTTAATTACATCTTTTTGGACCATAGAAAAACAATCAAAATTACTTTTAAAGATTTTAGTTGTTTAAGCATTAGTCTCTTTTCTCAAATACTATCTATTAAATCAGTGAGTTAAGTCCGTCTCAATAATCACCACTCATCTCAATAATCATCTTTATAATAATCGCTTAATTATATTAATCGTACACCTTATGCCACCATCGTGATTTTAACGTTTGCAAGTATTTGATGATGACGGTGTACTCCTTTCTGTCCATCGCTAATTATATTATTTAATTTGTCGAAATTGCAATTTCCTTAACCACTCCTTAGCTTTCACGAAGTGACTAATGCTCAATTGACCAACCTTGCCCATATGTTTAGTTATGGGCCATTGTATTGTCTTCTCAAGTTGTTTTATGGTAGGATTGAGTCATCTCATATAATTCCAACAACACTAATAACATCTCATGTATCACAGTATCCAGTGCTGGTTTTTAGATTTTTGTGGCCCTATTCTGGTAAATAAATGAGACCCCACCAAAATCACAATCTTTAAAATTAATACCGTATTTTTTTCTAATAATAATAATAATAATAAGGTGGTAAAATGTTACTATGCGCAAAGAAAAAATCAAAAAACATATTATGGAATAAATCATAATTATAACAATAATAATAGTGTGCGTAAACTCGCAATGCAAAAGGATTAAAAAATAGAGAAAAGCCAAAAGACATATTATGAAGCACACAAGTTTCGAACCTTTGACCTTCAAGTCAAAATAAAATAAATAAATATTCTTACCATTTCTTCATAAAGCCTCTTAAAGTTAAGTGAAAACTTTTATTTTTTATTTCTAAATTAGTTAGGTAAAAGTTAAATATTAGACCTCTAAAATTTGGAGACCCCTCTAAAATTTGAGGCCATGTGCGGTAGCCCAGCTGCACAACCTAAAATCCGGCCCTAACACTATCACATGATGAGTTGTTGTACTTCAGGTACATATTCCCATTTTATTTCGTATACCGTAATATATGTTGATTGACTAGGTCCTGTTTGGTAAATGATTGTTAGCTGATAGCTGACTGAGTTAATTAGATAACATTAGCTGATTGTAGAAAAGTGTTTGGTAAATTAGCTGTTAACTGACAGTTGTTTGGTATAATTTCTTTTTTCAAAAGCTAATTAACCAAACACTTATATGGATTTTTAAACCAAGTAAAACAATAAGGGCGTGTTTGCTGGTTCGCACTTAGGAATCGGAATGGGCATCAAATACTTGGTAATGGTAATGAGTTTTAGTAAAAGTATTTTGTATGTTTGGTAGTTGGGTGGGATGTGAATGATTATCAATAATGTTATTTGATTATGTATGATCCTATAATGGGAATAAAGATTTTAAAAATACAAGAACACAAAATTAAAACAATTGATTCTAATATAAAGACATCCAAAACACCAATATGAACAAACAAATAAAAACAAAAATCTAAAAGCACTAATCAAAGGGGATGAGAGAAATAAGGAAACAATCCTTATGCCATGGAACCGTGTTCACCATCCATGGTGAACACGGTCTCAACGATAACGGTGCACCGTTATCTTTTTTTTTTTTTTTTTCTTAACTAACTGCGCGACTTTTCTTCTTCATTTTCACATTTCGCGGTTTCACTTTCTCTTCGCGCAAGTTTCTTCAACATTCATAAATTATGAATGTGCAGTTATGAAATTATGAATTTTCTTTTATGAAATTATGAATTTTCTGTTATGAGATTATGAATTTTCTGGTATGCGATTATGAATTTTTTGTTATGAAATTATGAATTTTCTGTTATGAGATTATGAATTTACAGAAAATTCATAATTACATAACTGTAAATTCATAATCTCATAACAGAACATTCATAATTTAATAAATGTTTTTCTTTTATGATATTATGAATTTTCTGTTATGAGATTATGAATTTACAATACATTCATAATCTCATAATAGAAAATTCATAATCTGAACAAACGCGCGCCGTTAACAACACATTAACTAACAAAAAAAATTTCCATAAAAACGACACCGTTGGTGAACACGTTTCCAGGACATAATTTGCAATAAGGAAATGAAAGGGGATGATACCCTTATTTTATTTGGGCATGAGTTTTTCAATTAAGGGAATATTTGAAACCCATAGTAGTGTTTTAAAATCCTATCAACCAAATAATACCAATTACTTTGATATCCATTCCTTAAAACTAAACTTGTCAACCAAACACAATCTAATAATGGTTAAATAAGCCAAAATTAACCTATATGCTAATTATTTTACCAAACAAGACCTATATATTAATTTCATGAGACATCTTACTTTTATTCTTTTATTATTATTATTAATTTTTTTTTAATTTTCTTTCAATTAATATAAATTACGTGTAAGAATATAGACTCTTAATTAAAAGTATAATTAATATTTTTCTCATCACACTAAGTTACTAAACAATGACGTGTCTCGAAGAGTCACTTGCACGTACTTAGCGTTTAAAAGGGGTTAATTAGGACCCGTTTACATACATATTTTTCATTTGAAGTTGTCCACACCCATGAGTGACGCAAATTATGCCATGGAATCGTGTTCACCGAGAATGGTGAACACAAGGCAAAACGACGTCGTTTTTAGGCCAAAAAAAAAAAATTTTGCGGATGTGGAGTTAACGGCGCGCGTTTGATCAAATTATGAATTTTCTGTTATGAGATTATGAATTTTATGAAAATTCATAATCTCATAACAGAAAATTCATAATCGCATAACAGAAAATTCATAATCTCACAACTGAAAATTCATAATCTCATAACAGAAAATTCATAATCTTATAACAGAAAATTCATAATCTCATGGTTCCAAAGTGAATGTGTGGGCATGGTTCCAAAGTGAATGTGCAGGCATGGATTCATAATTTATGAATGTCCGTGATTTCGGACGGGAATATGTAGGCATGGTTCCAAAGTGAATGTGCAGGCATGAATTCATAATTTATGAATGTCCGAAATTATGAATGTAATGAAAATTCATAATCTCATAACAGAAAATTCATAATCGCATAACAGAAAATTCATAATCTCATAACTGAAAATTCATAATCTCATAACAGAAAATTCATAATCTTATAACAGAAAATTCATAATCTCATGGTTCCAAAGTGAATGTGTAGGCATGGTTCCAAAGTGAATGTGCAGCCATGGATTCATAATTTATGAATGTCCGTGATTTCGGACGGGAATGCGTAGGCATGGTTCCAAAGTGAATGTGCAGGCATGAACTCATAATTTATGAATGTCCAAAATCTTTGTTCACCTCAAATTAAAGTAAAACCGCAAAATGTGAAAATAAAGAAGAAAAGTCACGCAATTAATTAAAAAAAAAAAAAGATAACGGTGTATTAACACCGTTAGAACCGTGTTCACCATGAATGGTGAACACGGTTCCATGGCATAACGTCTGCATGAGTGAGTGGCCAAATATCACATTGAGCATTGTCAACATACACCACAAATATTAGACGGAGCATATTTACCTGTCTTATTTTCCTTTTTAGTTTGTCCCAAAATAATATTATTTGTTTTCAAATTTGAACATAATTATCATTTTACATTTTTCAATTTACACTTTTAACTTTTTAAAATTTTTAGATAATTAATGAGGTAAGTACAATTATACTTTGTACAAATTACACCTACTTTTAAAGGACAAAATTAAAAAATTTGTAACATTTATTTTGTTGCATTATAACCCGTGCAAAAAAACAATATAATAAGCAATTAAGGACAGGGAAGTATATGACAGACATAATTTAAAATTAAACAATTTGAAATTTTTTATACTCAATACATGTTTTTGTAATACATAAGAATCAAACTTAACATTATTACATAAATTTAGGTCACAAAATATTTGTAGTACATTTGACAAATGAAATCACACTTATAGTTTATTTAATCCTGTCACCACAATATATAATTTCATATATAATACAACTTATATATTAATATAATTTACTTGGTATAGTACATCAAATTTGGGAATTTGAAGGATCGAACGGCCGTGGCATATCCAAGCAAATCAGACCACTGATCACCACAGTTCCCCTGAAGGATGTAACCTTCTTCCACCACTTCTATCCTCTTCTCAGACTTGAACACTAATGATGACTTATCCTCATCACATGTATCCCTGTTTTAATATATTGCATGACAAAAAGTTACAATGAGATATATAATTGTCACAAAATACGTATGTATAATATTAAAAGTTTGAATACCTTAATATAAGTTTGTCCCAATTGTTATATCCGACTTTGCAAAGATTTTTGACGGTATTGTTGAGCTGAGACTGTTTCCTTTCGGATATCAAGAAAATCTTGAACCCTAACTTCTGAATAGTCTTGTACAATTGTAAACTTGCTGGTAATGATGGTAAGTCAAAGTCATCATCATCCAAAGAAGAGTTTTTACAGTTTTTAAACCCTGCAGATTTCACTGATAATCTGCATCCAGACAACAATCACAACACATATCAACATGCATTAAGTAAATAATAATGTTCCCTAAAAAAATTCAGATTAAAACATTCACATTAGTAATTTTTTGTAAAATTTTTACAGAAAAAAAAAAAAGAATTTTTTTTTCAATAATGGAGTGTAGAGTTTTTATGGAGTTTTTTATCATACAAATTAAATTTTTTGTAGGCCCGTCAATGGGCAGACACCCAAGATGCACATTTCACACACTGCGCGTGAATTGCAGTAAAAGGATTTTTGTTGTTGGAATTGTTTTTTTTTTTCTCTTTTTTTTTTCTTTATTTCCTCTCCCAGTGGTCTGGCAAAATCCAAAAAATTCTATTGAAGTTGGTCTTACAAGTTTAACTCCTAGCATGAATAATTTATTGACATTCTTAGCTTGAGCGTATCAATTATAAACAACCTAAGTTAGGCTTTTATTATCCTTACTCTATATACATCCTAGGTTACAAGTTGACTTCGAGAACTAGGACAGTCTATTAACTTTCTTGGTTTGAATTAATTATTTATAAGCAACTAGTCTCTTTGGTAGTACTTTATCAGCTAAGATCACAAGACATGATTTGACTAAGTCACACATTCCAACATTGACAATTCATTTTTGTGGTTATTAACACACACACACACACACACACACACACACACACACACACACACACACACACACACACACACACACACACACACACACACTTTCCTTCATGTAATACTCACTCATCGCAGTAGGAAACGCGCGAGAGCAAAGTGTCGTCGATGTCGAAAATCCAAGCGTCCCGGTGGGTGACATTCACCGACACGGCGTACTCCCTGGCGTAGCTGGCGACGGCCATGGAGTCGGAGAGGTACCGGTAGTCGGTCATATAGGACTTGGCGAAGTCCTCGCAGGTTTCCTGGTCCCAAGGCCCGGCGTTGTTGTTCTCCACCGCCAGTTTCCAGCTCTCGCAGTACCAGTGGTCCTCACCCACGCCTGCCGGGAGTTCGATGATTGGTTCTGGACGGGAAGTTGCGGCGGCGGTGGTGGTGCCGCCGGAGATGAGGAAGATGCACATAACAAGGCATTGCATGAAGGCCATGGCGGACATTATATTATATTGCCAGCTGAATATATAGTTTGAAAAGAGAGATTAGATAGTTGTGGAGATTGAGAATTGAAGATTGGTGTGTATTTATATATAACTGGAAATTTGGATTATATATTATTAAAACATTGACAGTTGCCTGGTTTGCATTTATGTGTTCTGGCACTCACTCCATTTTTGTTACGTACTATAAAATAAATTTGAACGCTGTTTTTTCTTGCGATTGGGATTATGTTTGATTCAAGCTAGGTTGAACATGTGAGCCAGTTGTAGCTGTATTATATTGTGTGTAAGATGAAATTTTTAGTACATTTTTTCATAGTGGAATGTTGCAACATCACAATCGGAGCAGGGATTCTTTGCGAGGTCAATTAAAATATTTTGATTTACGAGAAAACATGTCGGTGCAAATTGAATGTGCGTTGTAGGTAAAATTGGTATTTTGATTTTAGCTGACAAAAGATTATAAAAAAGTAAACAAGTTTTTATTGTCAATAGAAAAAAAACAAATCAATTAAACAGCTACCATGGAGATAGTAATTCCATAACTTAGTTAAGGCCAATGAATCTCGAGTAAATTGGTGAGAGTGAAAATTCTCCCACCCAACGTTAAGAATTTAACTCATACAATACGTTACAAGTCATCTTATAGATAAACTTTGATAAATATTATTGTTGGGACGAAATTATACACAATACCCAAAGTTTTATTTAAATTGACGAATACTTAAGGATGTTAGTTTTAATTCGTAATAGATGAGTTAGTACAAAAAGATTAAGGTAAAAACTTGCGTGAGACCGTGGGATATTGATACGGTACTCAAGCCAAGACCCTAACTCCACCACAAAAGCTAGCTTATGAGTGGAGGTTTGGTCCCAACTTAAGTACCACTCCACAATATCTTGTGGAGCCGATGTGGGATCGCGGCGGCTTACACTCCGGACTCTTCTCGGCACCAGGTAGCCCTTTTCTCCTTTGGATGGCTTCACTCCGGACCTTATCAAGAACCAGGTAGCCCTTTTCTAGGTCGCCCCCGCCGCTAGGCCGACAACGGATGAGTGGACGGCTTCACTCTGGATAGGTTTCACTCCGGACTCTTCTCGGTTCCCTTTGAACCTTATCAAGCACCGGGTAGCCCTCTTCCAGGTAGCCCTTTCCCACCACACTCCGGCCTCTCAACAAGAGAGCACCAAATGATACGGTACTCAAGCCAAGACCCTAACTCCACCACAAAAGCTAGCTCATGAGTGGAGGTTTGGCCCCAACTTAAGTACCACTCCGCAATATCTTGTGGAGCCGATGTGGGATCGTATCATTACCCACCCCTTGAGAAGCCGACGTCCGTGGCGGCTTACTCCACAATGATACGGTACTCAAGCCAAGACCCAGACCCTAACTCCACCACAAAAGCTGTGGGATCGTATCATTACCCACCCCTTGAGAAGCCGTCGTCCGCGGCGGCTTACACTCCGAACTCTTCTCGGCACCAGGTAGCCCTTTTCTCCTTTGGATGGCTTCACTCCGGACCTTATCAAGCACCAGGTAGCCCTTTTCTAGGTCGCCCCCTCCGCTAGGCCGGCACCGGATGAGTGGACGGCTTCATTCTGGATAGCTTTCACTCTGGACTCTTCTCGGTTCCCTTTGAACCTTATCAAGCACCGGGTAGCACTCTTCTAGGTAGTCCTTTCCCACCACACTCCGGCCTCTCAACAAGAGTGCAACAAATGATACGGTACTCAAGCCAAGACCCTAACTCCACCACAAAAGCTAGCTCATGAGTGGAGGTTTGGCCCCAACTTAAGTACCACTCCACAATATCTTGTGGAGCCGATGTGGGATCGTATCATTACCCACCCCTTGAGAAGCCGACGTCCGTGGCGGCTTACTCCACAATGATACGGTACTCAAGCCAAGACCCTAACTCCACCACAAAAGCTGTGGGATCGTATCATTACCCACCCCTTGAGAAGCCGTCGTCCGCGGCGGCTTACACTCCGGACTCTTCTCGGCACCAAGTAGCCCTTTTCTCCTTTGGATGGCTTCACTCCGGACCTTATCAAGCACCACGTAACCCTTTTCTAGGTCGCCCCCTCCGCTAGGCCGGCACCGGATGAGTGGACGGCTTCACTCTGGATAGCTTTCACTCCGGACTCTTCTCGGTTCCCTTTGAACCTTATCAAGCACCGGGTAGCCCTCTTCCAGGTAGCCCTTTCCCACCACACTCCGGCCTCTCAACAAGAGAGCACCAAATGATACGGTACTCAAGCCAAGACCCTAACTCCACCACAAAAGCTAGCTCATGAGTGGAGGTTTGGCCCCAACTTAAGTACCACTCCACAATATCTTGTGGAGCCGATGTGGAATCGTATCAGATATGTCGGGTCAAGATGAAATATAATAGTTATACTAATACATGTAATACAAAATTATTAGTCAATCAAGAATAAAATGTAACGTTACTTATAATGGAAAATATAATATTTTTAATGAAAAAAGTAATACATTTACATCAAAATATAAAAATATTACATTTGTTCCTTAAAAGTATTATAGTTCCCCTTATAAGTAAGGGTCATTTTATTCCTGATTTAGTATTACATTTGTTAGTATTAGTATTAAATTTGCATGACTCAACCTGTATCACGAATAAGGATTCGTGAGACAGTCTCATACAAGTGTGTTTAATAGGTTAGGTAAAAAAAAATGATCTCAATAATCTAAAACTTAATAATTAGACATGATGGCTCAAATGGTAAGAGCTGAAAACTGAAGAGTTGTTAAGCTAGCTGAAAAGCTAATAATTGAAGTAACTAAAGCTATGTTTGGCAACCCTAGCTAAAAAGTAAAAAGGTAGTTGAAAGCTAAAAATGAGCTGAAAGCTGAAAAGCTATAAGCTAAGAGCTGAAACAGAAGCTAGGTAGCTGTTATGCTTGAAAGTGTTTGGTAAAATTAGCGTTTTAATAAGTTGATAAATGTAAAAAGATAAAAAAAAAAAAAAAAAGAATAACATTTTCATAAAATTTAAATTAATTTGTTTACATATTAAAATTTAACATTTTGTCTTTAAAAAAAATTAACATTTTGAAATAAAACTATTAACATAATCATGATCTAGCATATCATAATAATAAAGTAACAATATTGTTGCAAATTTCTTTCATCTCAGAAAAATGATTTTAATTGAGAAGGGTAAATGATGTTATTTCTTTAAAATAATAAGGATAAAAATGAAAAAAAAAAAAGTTAAGAAGCTACTAGCTTATTTTGGGACGCTACCTAAGGTACTAGCGTTCCAAAATAAGCTGTTATTTTAAGCTAGCAACTTATTTTGAAAACATTACCAAAAAGAATTTATAACTTATTAATAACTTAAAATAAGCTATAAACTCCGCCAAACAGAGACTAAAAAACATGAAAGATGCTGCAAAAAAATAAATAATAAATAAATAAATGAAAGAGATCGGAGGAGGAGATAAAGAGTTATTTGTACTTTGTATAATAGAGTGTTGCTGTCTGCATCTCTCCGAGTCTTTTGCTTGGTTGAGTTGAGAGCCTATCAGTAACTCATATTCATTTACTTACACAGCTTTTGTAATAAGTTAAATAGTAAAAAATTAATAGTAAAAGGTAAACCAAAAGAAAAGTTTACTTATTATATTACTTGTAACTTTACACTTTCATTCACAAAGAATTGACAATATATTTTACTTAAGTGCTATCTATGTAACTCAATGACTTAGTAGATAAGGTTAAATGTTGATGTGCCGTTGTGACTGAGTTTAGAATCTTGATCTCTTCTCCTAAATATTGTCTACTGAACTAGTGAACAAAGTTTGTATGGTATGAGTTGACAATTTTTTTTTTTTTTTATACTGGAATGTTGTAATTTTTAATATATAATTTACACTATCAAGAAAAAAAAAAAAACAAAATAACAACAGATTAAATAGCTACACTTTAAATACATTCAGATCCGAGTATTTTACCTACTGAAATGCGCTGGTAAATTAATTAAATACATACTAATTCCAGTAATTTATCTATGAATTTTTTATTAGTAAATTTTATTTTTCTTGTAGTGTTATGTGCAAGCATAAGAAAATCATTATATTATATGATTTCTTAAGTAAAAAATTATATATAGTTGTTACAACATGTAAATATATATATACCTTATATTAATATGTCAAATTTTAAAGATTTTTAATATATATATATATATATATATATATATATATATATATATATATATATATATATATATATATATATATATATATATATATAATTGTATTTCTGGTTGGTATAATTGGTCACAAAACATAAAAACATATTTGAGTTTTTTTTTTTTAAATCAAAATTTAAAATTTTGAATATAATTATTATGGCAAAAACTTGTGTGAGACCATCTCACGGATCCTTGTATGTGAAACGGGTCGGGTCAACATGAAATATAATACTTATACTAGTGAATGCAATACTAAATCAGGAATAACATGTTTATTACTTATTTACTTATATGAGAAATGTAACACTTTTGAGGGAAAATATAATGTTTTTACATTTTGATGTAAAAATATTACATTTTTCATTAAAAGTATTACATTTTCATTTATAAGTGCAATATTATTTATAAAGGTAAATATAATACTTTTTGATGAAAAAAGTAATACTTTTACATAAAAATATAAAAATATTACATTTGTCCTCAAAAGTATTGGCCATATTTGGTTAATTAGCTTTTTGTAATTTCAAAATACTAAATTTCAAAAAGCTGCTCAAAGCAACTTTTTCAATTAGCTTTTTGAGAAAAGAAATTATACCAAACAACTATCAGCTAACAACTAATTTACCAAACACATTTTTACAATTAGCTAATTAATGTTATCAACTAATTATACCTTTTAATTAACTCAATCAGCTAACAACTACCATTTATCAGGCCAAACAGGGCCATTATGTTTTCTTTATAAGTAACAAACATTTTATTTCTTATTTCGTATTACATTTGCTAGCTAGTATAAGTATTAGATTTGCATATTGAC